GAATGATGGTGTCCATACTAACCCCTGCTCTTTTCTGACCCTGAATGGACCTGTTCTTTCTCTTTCACAACTAAAGATTCTCTGGACCTTATTGATCTTGTTAGCTAGTCTTTAAATTATTTTAAAGTTAACTGGAGGGTATCTTAATTGTGAGGTACAAATCACGAATGATGATGTCCATACTTAAACCCCTGCTCTTTTCTGAACCGGACTGGACCTGTTCTTTCTCTTTCATAACTAAAGATTCTCTGGACCTTATTGATCCTGCTAGCTAGTCTTTGAATGCTCTGTGGAGGCATAAAATTTTGTTTGGCTCGCAAAAAAATAGTTTCCGTCCTACAGATCTCTCTTTCAGTATTTTGTTGGAACAACTAAGATGGCATTGCCTTCCCTTTGTGGTTTGCGGTATCCTCAAATTCCAATCAATTTGATTGATACTTTTGGTTGGTTAGCCAAATCTTCTCCCAGAACTTATTGCTTATCAAGACCTCTGACGGCCATGATCATTGTTCAACAAATTATTTGCATTCTTGTCAAAAGTATCGGCATATAATTATAGACAAACTTTGAGCATGAGAACAGCATTGAAATCTTGCTTATAAGTAGAATAATCAAGGCTGGAGCGAAAGAAAAAGCATCACAAAAAACGAAGACTTGAGACATCTATGCAACTGTGGCGGGTTTTCTTTTTTACTCGCTGTTTCAGAGGAAGCAACCCCACAACACATTTGATTGTTAGTCAGACATACGGTTATGGCCACTTGAATAATTTCAACTATTTGACAGATTCGTCCCCACTTTCGAGTCTTCTCACACACTTTAAATAGGCCTACGAGTTACCTAACCACTAAAATATTATACATCAAGGGATGACAACCGTAGTGTGTACTGTTCCTTGGCTAATTGACGATCATACACAAAGAGGAAATAACAAGTTCGGCCTCCAACGAAATCAAAATAAACATTTCTGTGACACTAATCTACGTTAAACTTACCACAACCATGCATCTTTCCACTCATTTTTTTTATTCGTCTTTGCTCACTTTTCTCGACTTAAACAGGGGCATCTCTGTGATCCAGAAGAGCAAGAAAAACAATAATATTAAAAGATGTTCGCCATGTTTCGATACTCAGCCATTTTGTACTCTATTGCATTATGGGTAAAAGCAATGACTCACATCAACTGCGGGTGCAGCTACTTTTGACAAGGATCGATGCGTATTTTTCACGGCAAAACGTCGGTTTGAAATGACGAAAAACTACTGGAACATCATGCTTTATTTTTGAACAAAACAAACTGCTGACATCTGCATTTACGTAAATGTGTGGGTGGAATAGAAGACGTAGGTTCTTTTTATACGTGATTTGTCACGCAATCTGTCCGAAGAGTAAACATTGCGTGATATAACTGTCAGGTCACATAGCTTAATTAGTTCCCAGTTTAGAGTTTATTGTCGGCCATATTTTTTAATAAGTAAAGCAATCAGCAAGGTTTCCTAGGTGGGCAGGAAATTACAACACAGTTTGTGGAAATTGAGATTTTTTTTCTTCATTATTTTCCAATTTTTCCTTTCCTTCTTTTGTTTCTTTTTCTTGTTTCATTATATATCCGAACGAGCTTCATCGTAATCTGGCGGACCATAAAAATAGATAGTTAAAAATCAGATTTTGAGCTCGACATTTAA